GGGGGGGATAGAATACACTTGTATCGGTTCATCATCATCTTTGTAATGGTATATACCCGGACAGAAGGCTTCCAACTGGTTCTTCCTTAACCTTATACCGGTTCTACAGACCACAAACATGACCCACAAGTCCCAAACCTCATCCATTGACGTGGGGATGTTTTTGTTCACTCCCACACACAAGTGGCGGCTCCCTTTTTCAAGAAAACGAAGCTTGTGATTGGTTATGGATTTTCCAATGCTTCATGTGGCGATTGGACGACAATATTAGTTGAAGAAGCTTCTCCGGCATCCACCACCACTCACCTCACACTTGGGCCAATAGGAGAAAGAAAGGAGATGAGACACACATATACATTGCTTGCACCACACATTTGGAAGGAAGTCTTAGTTTTAGATGTTTTAGGAAGTTTTAGAACTTAGCCGGTTTTCGGAGAAGAAAAATAGAGCATTCCATTTTCTTTAGTTATCGTATTTTGTTCGTTTATTTAAACTTGCTACTTTGAAGTGAATCTTAGTAGAGTTAATCTTTTCAATATCATTATCTATTTTCCTTTGATTTCCATATATTTCATTGTTGATTTCGGTTTGATGGATTTTGCTTTCGGCTAGACTTCGGCGTAATCCAAGGAAGGATTTTCACTTGTGATGAAGCAATATTAATTCTCAAATGTATTCTAACTATGTAGTGTCTTTGTAGATGAAAAAAAATCATTTTTAAAAATTTGTTTTAAGTCTAAACATCTTGATTTCCCATCGATGAATTTTTCAGCACGGGTAATGCTTGGAGCTTCTACCATCAACAAGAGTATTCACATATCTAGTTATTATCCATCCTCAAAGGCACATATCTTCCAAATTTAGATTTTTGTTGAATATTTTTCATTCAAGTGAATTTGATTATGAGCTTAGATAAGTTATAAATGAGAGTCGATGAGCTTGATTACGGTGAGATAAATTTCAAGAATTAGTCAATTATTTATCCATTTGATTTCATTACACTAGTTGTTTTATCAACGACTTTCAAAATCCAAGAATTTTTATTTTATTTGCAACATATCACCATTCAAATTGTCTTGTTCCTTGAGAAGATTACCTTAAATTTTTTGATTTATTACGCAACATATTTTCCTACACTTCAAAAATACTTCGACATTAGAGAAAGAGAAGCATTTGTGGCGCTGGGAACAAGGCCTGGTCAGACTTTATGTAATGTCAAAGTAAAACCCGGTTTATATCCACTTGTAATAAGAAGAAAATTGATCTTCTAAGAGTGTTTTTTTTTTTTTTGCTGATTAAAAAAGGGGTGGGGACAAGAAGAATGCCCAACGACCACCCTTTTAGGTGCTCTTTGGTGGGATCATAAAGTTCCTGACTTGAAACATTTTTTAGAATTAGACCTAGCTAGACTAACATAATGACCAACCATCGAGTTCTAATAGAGACTTCAGGACTTGAACTCCCAACTTCTAGGTGAGAAGTAAGACCGATACTACCACTAGACCACCTTATTTCATGATCTTCAAGAGGTAATCATGAATACATTTAAGTGCTATATGCAAGACATGATTAGATTTTATATAAATCTGCAGAAATGAAAAACGAAAAAAGAAAATGAAGTTCAACCACTTTACGCATTCTGTTGTTTTTTATAATCTCTATACCGAACACTGCCAGCGCACACAACTTGAAAGTTTATTAACTATGATATTGTAATGTCTTAGTGTCAACTACTGTACCAACAATGTATCACAATAATTCAAACCATCTACCAGGTCTCTCTACCAAACATGTTTCTTACACGATCAGGAATATTATTAGCTCGCCCCTCCCTGTCAAGCCTTCAAGTCTTTGCACTTTGCTTCACTTCTAAGAATAAATAACAACCAAATACCCGTAAAATAGAGAGGAAAAAAAAGAAAGAAAAAGAAAATAGAAAAACCCCCAACAAAATTCACCCTTTTCCTTTTGGTCTTAAGACCATCCATCGATGCCTTTTCTCTTCTTTACATTACACAATTGCATAATCAGGGAAGAAAGACAGTAACCAGTCACATTCCTTATTAGTTGGCTTCCACCTCTCTCTCTCTCTCTCCCTTTTCACAGAGTAATTACTGCAACACTATACTAACCAGACCAATAATTTTGCTCTAAATCCGGGAACAAACCCTTGCACTCCATCCTGGAATCACCCACTTCTTCTTTCAATTCTAACTAACTTACAACTTCATATTAAGCCTCAAGACAACCAAACCGTCAAAGCTCCCTCCGTTCCCCCCCCCCCCCTTTCTCTCTGTCTCTGTCTCTGTCTCTGTCTCTCTCTCTCTCTCTCTCCAGTCTCCACCCATCTCAAGAAACATGAGATTGAAATCCCAATATCCCATCAACCTTAAGCTCATCCTCATCTGCTTTTCCTTTCTTTTCCTTCTCTTCTTGATCCTAAGATCAAGTTTCTCATCTTCCCAGAAAATTCCAACTCTGGTTCCATCAATCCACCCATCAAACTTATCAGATTCCTCAAAAGAACAACAATCTGCAACTTGTCCTCCTGCTGATTTAACACCAACCTGCACCAAAATCTCACCATCTCTAGCCCAAGCTCTTGTCCACTACACCACCTCAAACATCACCCCCCAACAAACCTTCAAAGAAATCTCAGTATCACTAAGAGTCCTCCAAAAGAAGTCACCATGCAACTTCTTGGTCTTTGGCCTAGGCCATGACAGCCTCATGTGGACATCACTCAACCACAATGGCCGCACAGTTTTTCTCGAAGAAGACAAGTCTTGGATCAAGCTGATCACAGAGAAAATACCCACTTTAGAATCATACCACGTTGTCTATGACACAAAGGTGACTGAAGCAGATGAGCTCTTGGAGATTGGAATGAGAGAGGAGTGTAAAGTTGTGGGTGATCCGAGATTTTCTAAGTGTCAGCTTGCACTCAAGGGTTTCCCTAAAGAACTGTATGAGATAGAGTGGGATTTGATTATGGTGGACGCTCCAACTGGGTATTTTGATGGAGCACCGGGGAGGATGAGTGCTATATACACAGCTGGGTTGATTGCTAGGAACAGAGAGGAGGGAGAGACTGATGTGTTTGTGCATGATGTAGATAGGGTTGTGGAGGATAAGTTCTCAAAGGCTTTTCTGTGTGAAGGGTACTTGAGGGAACAAGAAGGAAAGATTAGGCATTTCACCATTCCAAGTCATAGAACTCGCTCGGGTCGACCCTTCTGTCCATAGAGCTCTCTCTCTCTCTCTCTTCCCTTTGTTTTTTTATTTTTGATCAGACTCTGTTCCCTTTGTTCACTGTTTCTTACTTTCTGTTACTTTTTAAGGTTCTTTGATTTTGTTTTTCAATTGTTCCCTTTGTTTCTTTTTGGCTAATGAATCAGAATATTAAAGAACAAGAATTCGATTCTTGTATGTGCTTGATTTCTATTGAATTTGTTCTGCTTTTGTTTGCACAACTAGATTGGGAAATTTGCAGGTTCCTTAATGTGCTTGGTGACATAATAAATCTTTATGGAGACATCATCTATTATCATTATTCAAAGAGAGTAGGTTTTGGTTCCACTATTTGTGAAATGTTTATAATATCTCTGTTTTTTTTCTTAATCACTCACAACTATTTCTTTAATCACATTCAACCGCATGTAACCCTGATAGATCTATCCCTCTTGGTCTATTCCCACTTCTATATTTTCTGCTCTTTTCCTCTCTCTCTCTCTCCCTCTTTTTTTTTTCTCAATCTTTAACACATGGTGATGATGTATAGGACCCTATGAAGTTTATAGAATTGAATCCTTTAGTTTTTTTTTTTGTTGTCATGAATCCTTTAGTTCAAATAAAAATAATAATACTGAAATACTATTGGGACTCTCTCAATCCAATTATTATTAGTGATTCAATAGTAAATTAGATCATTAAATTAGGTTAAAATAGTATTATTCATGATAATTTGACGAAAATTGAAACTAAAATTTGTGAGTCAAATGATCTGGTTAGGAGTGTTCAAATTTTTGATTAGCCGCAATTTCCTACCCTACTCGACCCTACCCTAACCTACTGATCTACTAGCAGCAAAAATCGGGTAGGAATGCGAAATACCCATCAATTTCTGCATTCTTACCATATCTTACCCGCAAAAAATATATTTAGCTTTTTTATATTTTTTTTAGTAATTATAAGAATATTTGTGTGGTATAATTTATATTATAACATTGTTATTGTTGTGGATGTTTGAGTTGCTAAAATATATACTTGTTTTTTGTGTAGGTTATATGATTTGTGGTGCATTAATGATTTATTGGAGCAGTTATGATTTTAATGTGTTTCATATGGTTTAAACTTAAAATAATTGTTATTGTATTTGTGTAACAATTATGATGGATTGATATTCATGCTTTCTTATGTTTTATTGTAATTGTTGTTGTAGTTGTTTTAGGTTTTAATGTTATTGATTTATTTGTGCTTTTATAAGTTTAAAATTTATTTTTTTAATTGTAATATTTGATAGATGGGTAGATAAGCATAATTACCACTGGTAAATAAATTTTTTTTTTAAAAATTTGATAATATTTTTAAAATTATTTTCATGATTTTTCATTCTTGACTATAAATAGTCGTTAAAACTATTTATAAAAATTGTATGATTACCAACTGATAGAGAATAATGATTAGGAGTTACTCATCCAACAAATAATATGTATTTAGTTTATAATTTTTTTAAGTTGCAATGCGAATTGCTAAAAGCCACAGCTCTTGGAAAATTAATAAAGTACCCATGTGCCATGTGATCGGTAATAAGTGCGACTTCTTGGTATTGTAATTGATGCTCAATGATGTTTGATGTGATTTCATCTAGGTGATTTTTTTTTCACTTCATACTTTCATAGTAAGTTGAGGATTGAAAACTCGACTTTTATCCTACTATTTCTATTTTTTTTCCACTTCATAGTAAGACGATAATTGAGAACTCGACTTTTATCCTACTATCGTGATTTTTTAAAATGATTTATTTGTTTTTTAATTTTATCAAATTACAGTAATTCTATACAAGTGTAGGTTTGAATCCATATTTCCAAAAAATAAAAATAAAAATAAAAACGTATTAGCAAAACATGTATTCAAAGTTTTTTAAATCAAAACATAATCAAGAAGTTAATTTTAACCCCCTTATTTGTTCTCATTCTTCCTTCCCATAGGAAAAAAGATCCTTTAACAGTACCATTTGAGTTTTTTAAATCTTGTGACAATAATAATTAAGAGCCATGTTTGGTAAAAGAAATATTGTTTTAGGTACACGTTTTTTTAATTCACAACTACAAGATTAATAAATTATGCTGATTGAAACTGCTCTTAACCATCCATCCATTCCTAATACTAGGAAGGAATAGAGTAAGAGATGATTGATGTCTTGTCTAATTGATAACACGGTGAATTTTGTTTATCTTGCATGCCCTTCGTTACGAGTAAGGAGTCACCGTCACATCGGCATAGCCATGTCTGGTGCTATTGTTGAATAGAGGCCCACCACCTTTCGTCCAACTTTGAGACACATTCATCTTCTTCACTGTAAACTCGGATTTTATGTATTTAGGTAATTTGAACTCAAAATATGCAATTTTATATCTCCTTTTTTTTCAACCATTCAATCACTACTACATATGAGAAATGGGATATTACAGAGGGTAGGTGAGCAACTACATCATTTGGTTTGCGTTAATCACGCGGCCGTCACTAAACCATAAACAAATTTATATAAAGGATGAATTATATTTTACGCCCTTAAAGTTACGGATTCTTATTTTGAACTTTTAATTCTATCAATTATATGCCCCTAACTTTCAGCTAAATATTTGATTTATTCCAATCAATGATGATAGTTAAATTAACGAAAAGGTAATGTGTGCATATGTGATATTTGCAGTCTAGTTTTTGTTAGAGAAAGTCACGGTTAAAATTAATGAAACTACAAATTCGAAGATTAAAAAGAAAAATGTAAACTTGTGGGTATAACGTTCTATTTGCCAAAAGTGAAATAAATAAATCAAATAAACAATTCTAATCACCAAGAGCATCATACAACTATAAAATGAGGGTGCTAATGCAAATTTTGTAAAAATAAAGTCTAAACTCTTAGATAAATGTGACAATCGTGTCGTGTCAGATTCAGGTTGAAAACACATCAACCTAAACACGACTTGCAATTTAAACGGGTTAGGTCATTTGAACACAAATACGACCTGACTCGAAACACGACTAACCCGACAAGACTTGTGACCCGAGGTTTGCACAAGTCGTGTTCGGGTAAACACGACCCAACCCGTCTGACATGACCTTACCCGACATGACCTAAAAAAAAAAGAAAAAATTTAGACCTATTTTAGATAAAACAAAGGCATTAAAAACATCACAAATATCCCAAAACAAATACAAATCTCCATAACATTACAAATATTAAATTTTTTTTATAAATATCCGAAAGCAATATTACAATCATCTTTCAAATCTTTTTCATCTCCTAAATCTGGTCAACATCCTGCCAAAAAATATATTAAACTTTTAACCCCAATAAATATGGAATGATTATTGTGACAAAAAATAAAAACAAACACATAAGATTGAGGAGAAGAGTTAAGTTTTATGACTCACACACATCAACAATCAAGATCCATAATTACATTTGAACATTGCACCAACGCATCCTCATTTTTGTTCAAAGTCGGATTTATAACATCTACTAACTCTTCCAATTGCACTTGTAAATTTTCTAAATGACAATAAGGAAAACATATAAATAAGAATTCAATATTTGTAAAAATAATTAAATATCGCAGTCATCACAAATTATATTTATTATCTTTTTCTGCACATAACCAATCCCTAGTGCATATCAAAGCGTCCACAACATGAGGCTTCAAAGCATTACGGTATTGGTCAAGAACCCGACCACCAATACTAAGTTGATTCTGAAGCAACTGTAGAAATTGGAATAGTTAACACATCACAAGTCATAATAGCAAGTTCCGGATATTGATACTGGTGAACTCTCCAATAATCAAGAACAAGAAGTTATGTTTCTATGTCAACCCTAAGCTCATCTAAATACAATTGCAATTGACTTTTTTGTGTTTTAAGACCAGATGCATTGCTCTCAACGACAAATGCCTACATTATCAAAATCACAAATTTTCAAATCATAGACTATCAATAGTATTAATATAATACAATAAAAACTATAAAACAAAAAATTAAATACCTTCAAATCTAACACAGGTTGTGGGTTCAAGATTGGCTCACAAGCAACTAGACCACCACATGAAACAGTCGATAAATTGAGAAGAAGATGTGACAACAGATTTGCCCATATACTCATGAAATAGAGAAAAAAATTTGTCTCGAACATGAAAATACTCAAGAGAGCCTTCACCATAAAGTTTCTTATAACATCACTTCACAAAGTCAAGTTTATTGTGAGGATCAAACACAATTGCAATGCCCAATATTACGCTATACTCCAACCAATACTTCTCAAAATTTTCATACATTTGACAAGACATTCTTCTTATAAAAATATCCAAACTTTGCATTTCTCTATTCAAAGTCAATTGAATACTGAAAACTTGCTGAAAGTACAAGCTTAATGTGGAGTACTTGGAGCCAGAAAAGATAACAGTAGTATCATAGAAATTTTTTAAAAACATCCGAATCTTTTCAACTTTGATCCATTCACCTTGAGATGGGCAATGCTTAAAATTAGAATCCACAAGTTGCAAATGACAAAAAGGCACGACGATATTAAATTTCACTTGCAAGCATGAAATATGTTGAGTTCCATCTAGTAGGAACATCTTGCCTCAAACTTTTCTTGCTATCTAAAGGTGTATGTGAAACACACTCTAAGAATTTTTGTTTTTTTGCCTGAGAACCTTTTACATACTTGACACTCTCTCTGACTTTTTCCTTGGCTAAATCTACTTCTTTCAACCCCTCTTGCACAATCAAATTTAGAATATGAGCACAACAACGAATATGAAAAAATCCACCATCACCAAGTAAAGCATCTATCAAATTAAGTTGATTTTTAAGCATATTAACCATGACATCATTTACAGAAGCATTATTCAAAGTCATTGAAAACAACTTTTTCTCAACCCCCCATTTTGTCAACAAATTATAAATCTTGCCAGCTAGTGTAATGCCACTGTGTGGAGGAACATGTAAGAGAAATTCAAAATTCCTTTTTGCAATACCCAATCTTTGTCGATGAAATGTGCTATGAGACTTA